CTAAGAAGCAATGATTGTAGTCGCCAATGACGAGATGCAGGGTTAAGATAAGGTGAAGAGACAACTGCAGAGACTGACTTATGATCAGATACATCACATATGTCTACTCTATAGCACAGTTTTTTACTCTATCCATGATATGTCTGGACACAAACACATAGTCTATTCTAGAGGACTTCTTATGCGGGTGTAAATAAAATGTAAAGTCTCTAACTTTAGGGTTTATGATTCCCCAAGCATCAAGCAGGCCCAAATCTTCACAAAGCTTCAATTTAATGTACTGTCTCGAAGCTGCTGTATGTTTAGGAGGGTTGAGGTCATGGGTTTGAGCGCACAATTAAAGTATCCTCCAATAATTATGTGATTAACAAAAAATGATGATATATTGGTAATTAATTGAGAAAAAAAAAGTAGGTTCAAATGTGTCCGATAAAGCGCTTGGCCTTCATAGCAGACATTATGCATCGCTTGTCTGTGAAATTGTGGAGTTTAATAATCAGCACTGGTCTCGGTCCGTCACCCCTCTGTGGACCAAAGCTTTTCATTTTAAAGTGACGCCAAGAATACATTGGGCTGAGAACCTTCGAACCTTCTTTCAGCCTTTGAATTCTTATAGTGTTGTCTTCTATGTTGGAGACTTGGCTCTCTGCGTCGTTAATACATTTGGTGTTGTCTTCGATGCGTTGCGAAATAGCATTCAAAGTATTCGTGAACATAGACAGCTTCTCATTCAAGACTTTGCTAAAGCACTCCATGACTTTGCGTGTAAGTTTGAGGGAGTGACCACACTCACATGTGCCTTTTGGCCTTTTGGACCTTTTTCAGTCAGAAAAGTACCTCTGTCCTAGCTAGACATGTTGATGCTCTGAAATATAACCTCAAACCGTTGTGAAAATTATTTTTTGTTTGAATATAATTCGAAATATGCGGGAGCTAGGCCTTCGTACACCCTCTCAGCTCGGTGACGTCATCAGTCAAATGCTAATTTTAATAAAGATAATCCAGGAACATGTTAACCAGATTTCATTATTTAGATGAAATGATTGTAAACCATTTCAATTAAAGTTTTCAAATCAGACACTCACTGTAATCCTTTACATGCCCTTTTATCTAATGCAATTTAATAAAATAGTTGAAATTTTATTTTATTTATTGACATTATATTCTGGGGATATCAGATGGAATAAGATGGATATATTCTGATAATGATTCAGTTTTAGTTAATATATTAAGATGGATATATTGTGATAATGATTCAGTTTTAGTTAATATATTAAACCACACATTTATTTTGACCTACACATTTTTAATGAGTTTGGAATATTTAAACATTCTTTCCAATCTTTTTATCTCTTGATTTTATCCTTAATTGAGAAAATTACAAATACTCTGACAGATGCCTCTATTTTTATCTCATTTTAATTAGTTTTTTTAAGCGTGTGAACAGAGCTTTTATTTTGGTGCGTTTGTATTACGTCATAAGGCTGCGCCGCGCTCCGCATCTGTGATTCTGCTGAAGAGAGGTTTGTGTTTATAATCATTTAAAGTGTTTGAACCAATACAAGCTGTTCGTACAATTATATAGAGAACTTAGAAGTGAATTGATTATTTTCGAATGTAACATTGCAATGTATATAATAGCATTAATGAGCATTGTTTTGTAAGAATGAAGCGCATGAATAACAGAGAAGCTGCGTCTCAGTTCGCTCCCAGTTTATCGGATAAATTAATAAAGTCACCAGCGATGTTTCCATCTAAGGATTTTTTGCGAAAAAACATTTTTGTGCTTCAAAATTTGTATGTACATAGCTGACGGAAATGCCATTTATCGATTACATTTCTCTAGTGTCGACAATCTTTTTCCATTTAACTTTAGCACATAAATTCTATATCGATACTTCAAATGTTATCAGTAGTTTGGGAACATTTTTTTTTTTTGCGAGAAAAGCGGCTTTACCACATATAAATGTAGTCACAGAATTAAAGTTAGCCTACATATGTGTTCGTGTTTTTGATCCCGTTAAAGCTCCGTTTCTCTGTAGTTTAAATGCGGATTAATAATCTATTATATTTATATTATTAAATTGTATCTAAAATAATTTTCATATTGTTGGTATTTAAGAATAAGGTATTATCCTAACATCTTAAACATCATTTATCCTTATTTTTTAAACGTTTTTTTTATTGATTAGACTACAAATGAATATGAAAATTATTGAAATTTAAAATGTGAAGTTGTTTTAAGTGACAACATGGATATTTGAGATATTTCAAGTTAAAGCCACTAAAAGAATTGCACACAATTTTTTACAGTGTATACATTTTTAATAGGTAGTTGTTTCTCAAATTTAAAAAAATAATCGGTCTAGTACTAAGTATTAAGAGGCTCGACATTAAGCCTTGTCATGTGTAAATCGGTCATTCACTTAGCCTATACGAGTAAAAAAGTTGCTTGTGTGGATTTTTTTTTTTTCCGTGTAAATATAATTTATTCGGAAGCAATATTTAAATTTACATATTTGTGGTTTTTTCCCGAGGGCATTTTTTTTTTACATTTATAAAGCCCCCCTTATTTTATTAAATATATGGTTCATCTTTCATTTAATTTTTTTTAATTTTATCAATAAATTCAATTAAAATAATAAAACATAAGACTACACTGAAAAATGACAACTTGCACATTAAATTATGTTATGAGATCGTTTTAAATATATTTAATACACAGTGCTCGATGTGGGCCGGTGTTGTGCCGAACTTCGACTCACTGCCAAATTATTACCTCCCCCCTTGTAGAAATCAGTACATGATTGTCCAATCCTAACTCCACCCCTAATCCTAAACATATCTATAGGCTACTAGGGGGGTAATAATATGGCGGGGGTCAGAATTTGGGAAACACCGGCACTTCTATATTTTAATCTGAAGCGTACCCTCACCTTTTCTTTCGTACCGCCACTTCTCACATGTCACCTGTACTGTGTACTGTGTAATGTGCAACCCATTTAAATTCTATTGAGAATGTAGTAAAACTAAAGCTAAAGAGAAAGTTAAACATGATCTAAAACAGCCACTAAAAAGACTCTTTACTGGAATTGTTTTTATTGTGGTCAGTTTTGACTAACTGGTGTAATTTATAATAGATAATCTGTTAGGGGAATAGATTTTTCACTAAAGATTTATATCACAATTGTGGGATGTTGTTAGCCTGGTCCCACCAGACTTCCGTACATTTCATTCATACAGAGAGTCTGGCCTCGCTACATTGACAAGCGTTAACTTGTAGGTGGGTACTCTGTTAAAGTCTAAAACTATTGGACCCACTCTGGATTTGCCATATGCTATCGTTAAACAATGTTACTTATAAGGCCAAGTAAGTTAGAATCAAGAGCTTAAAATGATGGAGCTTCTTGATTTATTGACTAAATTGGTTTTCCCCAATGTGTAAAATGTTTTCTGCTAATTAGGAAAGACATGATTCAGATATTCCAAGAGATGACAGGAAATGTACATGTTCAGTATGAGTTTTAATTGAAGACTAAAATTACAGAAATTTAATTTGAAAAGATTTGGATGATATAACATCTGCAAAAAAATAAACAGACAAATTAACTTCATGAGGGAGCATGCCCTGGGACCCCGTTAAACAGTTCACACTTCAACTTTAATTTTTTGTTATTGACATTTTAATCGGGCTACTTGTCCAGTCGGGCAAGTGCATTTCTCTTTCTCTTGCCCCTTTCAAAAGATCCACTTGTCCTGGACAAGCGTTAATGTCGAGCCCTGCATTGCGTTCTCAAACCACGACTGGCTTGACTGCATGGTCAAGGCATTAAAGGACCGAACATTTCCCATGCCAATCTTTTCATAGACCGTAACGAGCTGCTCCACTTCCCCGTCGTCTTCTGACGTTCCCCAACATTATAGAAATGGTAACTAGTAGCCTAATTTCAATCGTCTCATTTCTCTGTGCAGTTTACAAATATTTAGAATGCTAAAGAAACGATATAATTTGCGATACGGGAAATTATTTATGGCTCAAAAGCAGCTTTTTTTTTTAGCAATGCAACAATTAGTTTTTTAGGGATGACGTCATCACACACCATTTAATCGGTAAAAGGCCAACTAGATGGAAACAGCCTGGAGACAGCACATTTCTTAAACTTTTTTTGCGCATATTTACTTTGTCAATAACAAAACGGCGTAAAAACTAATTGGGAACATGACTAACTGAGATGTAACGATGGAGAAACAGAGCTTTACAAACCTGAGTCATTTGAACCAAATGCTTCGCAAAATGATTCAGTGATTCGGTAAAAACAGTGTGAATGCAACAAACATGAATAATGACAACTTTTACATTGATTATTTGTGTAATGTATTACATGTAATGTACAAAATTCAATAATATAAAGAATAACTAAACAAAGATTTTTTATATTTTATGTTCTTAATTTGTAGTGCTAGTTTTGAGTGTTTTTAGTTTAATCAGGTGAATTAAGTCCATTAACTCTCTCTCTGACTGACTCTCTTACCAGTGAACTGAACTACTGAACTAGATCTGATTGAGACGCTCTCAGAGATTTAGTTTAGTGTGTTTTTAGTCTAATCAGGTCATTTAAGTCCATTAACTCTCTCTCTGACTGACTCTCTTACCAGTGAACTGAACTACTGAACTAGATCTGATTGAGACACTCTCAGAGATTTAGTTTAGAGTGTTTTAGTCTAATCAGGTCATTTAAGTCCATTAACTCTCTCTCTCTGACTGACTCTCTTACCAGTGAACTGAACTACTGAACTAGATCTGATTGAGACAGTCTCAGAGATTTAGTTTAGAGTGTTTTTAGTCTAATCAGGTCATTTAAGTCCATTAACTCTCTCTCTGACTGACTCTCTTACCAGTGAACTGAACTACTGAACTAGATCTGATTGAGACGCTCTCAGAGATTTAGTTTAGTGTTTATTTTTCTTCCTTTTATTTTTTCTCATCCAAAACAGGACAGAGTGTCCAAACACACAGGAAAAACTCCCAGTGAAGCAACTGAGATCCATGTGACACTATTATAAAGATGGCGTTTATTAAAGAGGAGATTGAAGAAGTGAAGATTGAAGAAACATTCAAAGTCAAACATGAAGAGACTGAGGAACACACAGGTTGGTTTCATTCTCAAAGCTGAACTCATTTGATCTTTATTGAAAAGTCCGGCTCTACAGAAATGATGTTTTTGAAGAATCACTAAGAGCAAATTTACATTCTATTGCATAACATTTTGAATGAAATCTTATGTAGCATAGAAATCATTTACTATTCTCACAGGATTAGTTATTACCTGAGATCATTTTTCAGGACCTTTTACAGAAGGTAAAAGCCGCTGTAATCTTTACTGACATTGTCCGTAATGATTACTGAGATGCACATTCGGACGGGACTAAAATCACCGAGAAGCTAATTATTACTTTACCCCACCTCTCCATGTTAAACTAGTCCCGTCAGAATGGCGCTATAGACGCATTAACATTTAAAATATTGATTTTCATGACAGGGTGTAGAAATCATGCAAACATTTAGGTGAGATTTTCTAATGGTAACTGAACAATGTTTATATATGAATAAAAGCCTTGATCAAATATGTAAACGTATACAGTGATCTTTTCAGAAGAAGTTCCTAGGCTTTCAATGGATGGACAACATTTTTTTGATTTTATTAAAAATATCTATATGACAGTAGGTGGTTCTTCCCTGTGGTATTGAAAATTTATATATTTCAAGGTATCGTATCAAAGTAGTATTGTGACAACACCACAATTTTCTTTTAAAATTTAAAGGGTGTCATGACTGAAAAAAGGTTAGGAAACACTGTTCTAGGTTATTATGTGTTGAGGTTTTTGTAATAGGAATAATAGGAAATTACTAGTCATCCAATTTTTTTATATCAGCTTTGCAATCCGTTAATTGGTAAGTTTTGTCAGGGCATGAAGAAATATAGAGCTGCGTATCATTGGCATAACAGTGAAAGCTAACTCCATGTTTCCTAATGATATCTCCTAATGGTAGCATGTACAGAGTGAACAGTAACGGTCCTAGTACTGAGCCTTGTGGTACGCCATACTGAACTTGTGATCGATAAGACATCTCATTTACTGCTACAAACTGATAACGGTCAGATAAGTATGATGTTGATGTTGCAAACCATGCAAATTTAATTCCACTAATGCCAACATAATAATAATAAAAATAAAATCTATTCAAATGAATGTTGTGGATATTCTCAAATGCAGCACTAAGATCCTGTAACACTGATAGAGCGATACAACCACGATCGGATGATAAGAGCAAATCATTTGTGACTCTGAGAGCTGTCTCAGTACTGTGATACTGCCTAAATCCTGACTGGTAGTCCTCGCAGATACCATTTATTTTTTTTGTAAAAAGATATAAAGTTGTGAGGAGATTGCCTTTTCTAGCATAATTGACAGAAAAGGTAGATTCAGGATCGGCCAGTAATTGACATTCTTTAGGACCAAGTTGCATTTTTTAATAAGAGGTTTAATAACAACTTAGTTAAGTTTTCGGTATCCTAATGAAAAAGATACATATTGTACCTTTAATGTCAATAATTTATTTTTTTTCACAGCCAGAGGTCACATTTTCAAAACAATAACAAAGACGAAGCTTGATGACGCTATGAAGTAGAGTGGAACGATAAATTAATATAAATTATATATCAGCTAATAAATTAGTTTTTATAAAACGGATAGTTCCAGTCCTTGATTCTGATTGGTTGAGCCGCGTTAGAAGCTGTTGTAAATTACTCAACAAACACACACCTGTGAGCGCATTACATTAGTATTACTGCGCAACTGCCGTTTGTGATTCTTTGTTGCTGCATGTGTTGCTTGGCAACCTCTTTGGAACTACATTCCTTGGCGGAGGAACACACGTGTTATAACGTTATGTTTTTTGTTGCTGGTGTTTTTTTTATGAATAAAAGAAATTTTAAAATATTTTTATGGAGTAACTGTAACAATAAAACGAATAAGTCCCTTGAGGCCGTGTTTTACAGTGGATTTAGAACAGCTAAGGGGGTTTTGCTCCGCGTCGTGCCTGACAACGCCCCTTATCTCTTCTAAATCCACTGTTAAACACGGCTTTGCGGGGCTTATTGCTTAATTTTATTACCTGTTTGATTACACTATTTCACACTAAGTATCTGTCAAGGCCAAGATTGTCTCTCCAGCCTGAAAACACCATTGATCCTTGTTTTATTTCTCTGTTTCTCCCAAAGCCTGCTTGCCTCTGTGGTAGGGATGTGACGGTGAGGATTTTTTCACACCGGTTAATCGGCGTGTTACAACACCGGTCCTGTTTGTCAGCACGTTGTCAGTGTCCTTATAGGTTACGTTAGTTGCACGTATAAAATTAAGTTAACGAACAACCTCGATCCATCAGGAAACGCCATAGGTCGCTAAATTTCACTGCGCTTCATGAAGAGTTTTTCTTTTGCGTGAAGAAGCCGTTCGCCGGAGATGTGTTAAAGATAGCAGTGCTTTCATGATTATTAGGCTACCGGTTTAATAATCCTCCTGGCTCCGGGTCTGAGTGAGTCATTTACTCTCTTACCTTTGTTCTTTGATTTACTTTAATGACACTTTAAGACCAGCTGCTGACAGAGACGTGATCGACACGCGTCCCATTTTCTCACAAATCTCTACGTTAATTTAAGACTTTATTTAAATAATTTAAGACTGCTCTTATGAGGACACTCGACAAAACTGACATTTTGGCATAATTTGTGTGTGTTATGGTTTGTTCAAGCCCGAAAGAGAACTCGATACTGACGCGCGTCTTTTCTGTGGGGCGCGCGCGGTCTCATTAGTCTTGTCGCGCTTAATATCATTCACATTAATAAGAGCGTGATCATACAACGGTAGTCAACGGGTGACAGAAAAAAACGGATACTGCGTAATTGCGTTAAATATATAAATATATGCCTATATATATTTTTTTTTTTTGCGGTGTCGCGGTGGACAAGTGATGAAACTGGTGTTGTGCCTGAACACCGGTAACACCGACTACCGTAGCAAGCCTACTCTGTGGATCTACTTTTACGTTTTTTTTTTTTTTTGTGAGGTATATATATATATATATATATACACACACACACACATAGATCCCTCATTAGCACCTTACGTTAATGGCCCATTGAAGCGGTCGCTAATTAATGAATCCATGTATTATATCTATGATTTCTACAAGCGGACGCCGAGGATAGTGCGGATACAGAGGTGGGTAGAGTATCCAAAAACTGTACTCAACTAAAAGTACAAGTACTTATAGAAATATTTCCTCAAAGTAAAAGTAATAATCTTATTAGTTACTTGAGTAAGATTAAAAAGTATCCAATGAAAAAACTACTCAAGTAGCTAGTTACTTCGGATCATATATAGGCACATATATGTATGTGTGTGTATATATATATATATATATATATATATATATATAACATGATATTATTTAGATATTTTAATTTAAATGACTTTTATTATCATAATTAGATAGGCTGTCTTTGCAACAAAAACAGAAGAGACAAGCATTATTTCTGCCATCTGTTGCCCAAAAATCATTGCCTGTCCTTTGGTTTGTATAATAGTAACTTATTTAACTACATTCGGATTATAAAATTACGAAATAAAGTTACTCTGCAGAGTTTTGCATTCAAAGGCATTTAAAGGCAGGGAACCATTGACACAGAGGAGAAAGAGTTAAAACTCTTTACATGTGTAAAGAGTGTAAAGACTCTTTACTCTTTACAAACTCTTTACACTCTTTACAACTCTTCTCATGACCGCTACTGAACATCTGAACACAATCTAACGATCAAATGCACATCGACGGATCTTCTTCCGACTGTTCTCCAAAATGTAATCAAATGTATATTTCTGCAGCATGTTTAAACTGGTAAACTAAGGAAGGAAAAGGCATTCGTTTTCAAGACGAGTTTGCACGCCACTGCGCAATACAGACAAATTACCGCGGGATGGCAGGTGTTCATTTAAACATAAACTGTGAACAATGGTAGCTTATTTAATGTATAAATTAAGGATATATTTCAAAAAAACGGGTAATGTCATACTTTGTAGTATTGCTATCGTGGCGTAATAATCTGTTTGGTTGTAAAATGTATTAACTGAATGAGATGAAATCGAATGTATTGTCCTGTGGAATCATTAATTCACAGAGATGGTAAACCAATAAAGATCTTCATCGCTGGCAAACAATATGATGCATTTGCAGATTTGCTTTCACTTGACTGTAGGTCCACGGCCACTTCATCCAACACTCTTGATGTTCTTAAACCTTCCTGTTACGACTCCGAGTGTGAAACCGCTTCAGACGATTCAGTGCGTGCAGGGAATCATTCAAACGGATTTGCGAACCAATTTAGACAGATCTGCCCACTTGTTTGATGAAGTTTTTGAACAGAATCGACTCAAAAGAGTGATTAATTTGTGAATTGAGCATCGCTCATGCCCCAGAAAAAAGGTACAGCGCGCTTGGAATAAACTACGCATTTAACAACATTAAACGTTAAAATAAAGTAACGAGCGGAACGTCGCCCAATGTAACAAAGAAAAAAGTTTTTTTTTTTTTTATTGCTCGAGTTGAAGTAAAAGTATCCACATTTAAATCTACTCTTAAAAGTACAATTTTGCCAACAAATTCTCAAGTAAATGTACTTCCCACCTCTGGAGACTGGTTAGTGTTAGTAGAGTTAGTAAGTCTGAGAACCAGCTGATATTATGTCACTGATATGCAACAATGACAAGGGACAAGCCATTATTTGAAACTGGAATTTCTCTGGATTTACAAATCCACGGGAACTTTTGGGATAATGTAAGTACACAAAATAAATCGCAAGTGGTTTTTGCATATTGTACCTTTTAAGAAAGAGAATCTATGAAATCATATTTTTCAGTTGCTTAGTTGGTATAGGGTCTAACATACATGTTGTTGATTTTGATGATTTCGATGATTTAACGAGTTTAGACAATTCTTCCTCTCCTATAGCAATGAATGAATGGAAAGTTTCCTCAGGGACACTACAATCCACTCCCTGATGCAATACTGTAGTAGACAGTTGCATGGTTTTAAATTTCTCTCTAATATTATCAATCTTGCAAGTAAAGAAGTTCATACTACTTCTTCATACTCATTACTGCTGTGCTGTTGGGAAACGTCTGAATCTTAAGCTTTATTTTAAATTAATTTAAGTTAATTTAGCCACTGTTTCAAATACCTAGGGTTGTGTTTGCTTTCTTCTAAGAAAATCGGAAAATAAGCAGACCTAGCAGTTTACGAGGCCTTTCTGTATACAATAATGCTTTCTTTCCATGAGATGCGAAAAACCTCTAGTTATGTTTTCTTTCCGCTGTGCTCGATCTGTCTGTCTGTGTTTTCACTGTTATGCGAAGGTGAAGAAACAAGTGATATCATATTTAATCATATGCATATGTAAAATAATACGATCATCAACATTTAAAGGCCCCCTGAAATCAAATTTTTTTAAGCTTTTATCATAAAGATGTTAGCCTTAAGGTTATGAATAAGCTGGTGTGTTCCAAACCAATGTCAAAATGTACCCACATTCCAGTGTTGATAAAAAAAATGCATGAAGCTAGAATAAACTTTTTTTTAAAGCAAAGGGAATGTTCTTTCTTTTTTTGACACATTGCATGTTCAGAAATTCATACAACAAAATATTCTGGGGTACATGAACATTTTGTGAAAACGATCAAAAAGACTGTAATTTTTTTTAACGCTGCTGGGGAAAGAGCTAAGTACTCATGATTTTCAGCCATTCAAAGCTTTGTGTAATAAGCATTTTAACACAGTTACATTGTAACAGTACATGCCTTGAGATCAAGCATCTTATGTTCAGAAAGTTTTGGTCCAATAATTCATTCCTCGCTTTTGGCAGAATGTAATTAAAGAAAATGACTAGTTATCCCTTCTTTTGTTTCATTTATACACTCTGCTATTATCACCGGGTGACATAGAAGGAACTTTTGGAGCGGAACGAGTTGCCCTGGGGGAGATTTCCGGAGCGACACCAGGCCGGTCCGGCGGCTAATCAAGCAGCCATTGGAGCGCGTGTCTCCAACGGGGGATTTAAAAGCAGCGGCTTGAAGAGGCTAGAGGAGCAGAGCGGTCGCGATCAAAGTGTGAGGCACGAGAGCAAGAGAGGCAAAAGCGGTGGGGCAGCAACAGAAGCAGAGACGGGAAGGATAAAGTGCGGTCGAGGCGCGGGCATGATTGAGATTGAGAACTGAACGAGTGAAAGCATTGTTGGATGTACAGGTTGTTATCGTGAGAGAAACGAATGGGCCCTGATCTTCGGATCGTTCGTCAAACCTGATGTCCCCTTTTTGAAGATCACGACGGTGGATTGGCCGGCCCCGACGAGGTGGAGTGAAGGTATACTTTTCACTGTGAAGTGGTGTGTCATTGCAGTGTCTGAAGATTGAAGTGAGCACGTGTGAAGATTTACAGTGGTTTGATGTATGCACGAGTATGGGAAAATTAAATGCTATCAGCACTCTGAAATCTTTGTCGGGGATCGTCTAGCCCGGCGGTGCGTCAGGAAACAATTTGAGCTGCTGGGGGTAAAGCTTTGTACAGGTGTCCCAGTTCATGCCGCTGTGGTAAAGAAAGGAGAAGTTCAGCTCTGTGTGTCGTTGTGAAGATCTGCATGCTGCCATTACTGTCCTGTGGGAAGAGAAGACTCAGTTATTAACTGCTGGATTCTGTACTCACCATTGCCGTTCTGTGAACAGAGAGATCCTGTCATCCGCCGTTGCATTCTGCCTGCTGCTGCCCTGCGAAAGAAAGGTGACACTCAGTTGTCTGATGCTGTCCTGTGAAAAGAGAAAGTCCACTGACTGCCGCTACCTAACTGTAGATCCCCGTGTCCTGCCTACCACTTACTGTTGTCTGCCGCTCTTCATCGGAGAGTCCTGGTCCTCTGTCCAATCCCCCCCACTGTGGTCCTACAAGCGGAGATACTCAGTCATCCGCAGCTACTTACCTGAAAGCTAACGCCCTCGTTCCTCCACACTGCTGTTCTGTACAAGGAGATGACCAACTGCCGGCTGGCCTGAGTCTTCCTCCATTGAAGATTCCTTTGACCTGTTTCAACGAGCGGCCCCTAGGCCGCTCGTATTTTTTTAATATTTTAGTTCTGGGCAAGTTTGTGTTTGTTTTTTGATAACTGACAGTTTGAAATTTTTTAGTTAAGAGTTAACAATATTGTTAAGAGGTTTTGAGATTGCATGTAACACCTATCTTAGTAGCTTAGTGCGTATAGTATCTAACATACATGTTGCTTTGATACTGTTGATTTTGATGTGTGTTGCTTTGTACCATTAAACTGGGCTTAATTTGTATTTCTCTTTTTTTGCCTTAGACCTAATGGCACTGAAAAAGGAGAGTCAAGAACTGAATGAAATAGAAGAGAAAGACCAGTGTGACAAACAGAATGATCTTATTACTGAGGAAAAGTCATTTAGTTGCTCACATTCTGAATATACTTCACTAAAAAGAGCAAATGGAAGTTATTTGACCTGCCAACAGTGTGGAAAAAGTTTCAACAGAAAAGGACATCTTAAAGTCCACATGAGAATTCACACTGGAGAGAAGCCTCACACCTGCAAACAGTGTGGATTAAGTTTCACTCAAGAAGTAATCCTTAACAGGCACGTTAGAATTCACACTGGAGAGAAGCCTTTTACCTGCAAACTGTGTGGAAATAGTTTCAGTAGGGAAGGAAGCCTCAAAAGCCACATGAGAATTCACACTGGAGAGAAGCCTTACATATGCCCTCAGTGTGGGAAACGTTTCACTCAAAAAGGACACCTTGAAAGCCACATGAGAAGTCACACCGGAGAGAAGCCTTTTACCTGCAAACTGTGTGGAAATAGTTTTATTCAAAAAGGAAGCCTCGAAAGCCACATGAGAATTCACACTGGAGAGAAGCCGTTCACCTGCAAACTGTGTGAAAATAGTTTCAATCGAAAAGCAAGCCTTAAAAGCCACATGCGAATTCACACTGGAGAGCAGCCTTTCACATGCCCTCAATGTGGAAAGAGTTTTACACACAAACCAACTTTTAATAACCACATGAGAATTCACTCCGGAGAGAAGCCTTTCTGCTGCCAACTGTGTGGAAAGGGTTTCATTCGAAAAGCAAGCCTTAAAAACCATGTGAGGACTCATACTGGAGAGCAGCCTTTCACATGCCCTCAATGTGGGAGAGGTTTTACATATAAAACAACCTTTAATGCTCACATGCGAATTCATACTGGAGAACAGCCTTACACATGCCCTAAATGTGGAAGGAGTTTTAGACAAAAACCAACCTTTAATGCCCACATGAGAATTCATACTGGAGAACAGCCTTACACCTGCCCTACATGTGGAAGGAGTTTTAGACAAAAAACAACTTTTAATACCCACATGAGAGTTCACACTGGAGAGAAGCCGTTCACCTGCCAACAGTGTGGAAAGAGTTTCACTGCAAAAGGAAACCTTAAAAAACACATGAGAATTCACACTGGAGAGAACATGTGATTAGTGTGGAAAAGAGTTTTGCATGTAAAGTAAACCTTGATTCACATTTTTGATCCGTGTAATAAAAAAAACGAGACCCCATTTTTGTTAATTTTGTGGGAAGTGTTTAAATTGGCACTAGAACACTTAGGCTACAACTCATGTCGCAACTGAAGTTAAAGGGATTGTAGTTGATCTATGATTCGTACTGGCCAGCTGCTCCCCGGATTGCAACGCATTGTGATTCGTGCATTACTTGCAAAGTTTAATGCATGTACTTTGAAGTTCTGTCAGTTTTAAGCATCAAGCGCAAGAAGACTGGAACTCACACGCTGTTGTCTGTCCACACACAGCACGTGAACGCCAAATTCAGTTCTCTTTCTCTTCTTTTTGAGCTTGAACAGACACGTGCACGCAAAATTAAGTCAAAATGCCCGTCTCTGCGAGTGTCCCTGTAAACAGTTGGTCATGTGTTGTAAACAACTGAGAAAGAAAACGGATGCGTATCATTATATTGGATCCGTGCATTCGTCTTAAAGGGACAACAGCCTAATATTCGCAGCTGTTTGTCACCAATGTTAGTCAAACATCAAAAGAGAAAGGGAAAATCACTTTTGTAGCTTTTAACAAAGATACATTTTAATTTATTATTTAATTTATACAGTAAAGTTAATTTTATATTTTTTTTCTGTTTTTCCAATATCGTGCAGCCCTACAAGACGGGCAGCAAAATACTAGGCTCTTTGTCCATTGGATATAGATGAATTGTCACCTGTAATGAAACCAAGTATTTTCACCATATGGAAGTGGGTCCCACTTTCAGAATATATGAAATATTTGTATGAAAAGTTGTCTCTTTTTGAGTTATGTATTCTAAAAATAAACTTGTTCTGTCGATCAGGATCTTTTGCTGGTTTATTACGAGTTTAAAATGGTGCGAGCGCAGTCAGCAGACACTTTGAATTTGCACGTACAGAGAATGGCATCGCATCGGGAGCTGACTAGCAAAATACTGAATTAAAAGCAAGGAAGTTTGTATACAAAGTCAAAGATATTGATGTAAATGACAAATTATACATAGAATTATATACACTTTAAAATGCAATCAAATAATGGAGTGCAATGGTCATTATTTCATTCAGTGAGAGAATGCATAAATTGTCAATCCGGATTTGAATATGGCCACTGGTGGTGACCTCTAGAAGGTGGTTCCAGCTAGCAGTCTCATCACTGATCCAAGGTGTTTCTAGCCTATTAATTAGTCAAAAGTAATTAGTTATTTCAGCTTAACCCCCTCACACAAGTATTTGTGGCACAATCTTTTTTTCTTTTTTTTTAGACAGAATAGAAGAGAAAGTGTTCGTGTTACAGGATCAAGTGCTGTCGAAAAAGCGTCTTCAGCTGTTTCTTGAAAGTGGCTACTGACTCCGCAGCTCTGGTTGAGTTAGGCAGATCATTCCACCAGCAGGGAACAGACATGGTAAAGGTCAGAGAAAGAGATTTTGTGCCTCTTTGAGATGGTACCACAAGACGACATTCGCTTGCAGAGCGCAAGTTTCTGGATGGCACATAAGTCTGAAGTAATGAGTTTAGGTAAGAGGGAGCAGTGCCAGTGGTTGTTCTGTAGGCCAACGTCAGTGACTTGAATTTAATGCGAGCGGCAACTGGCAACCAGTGCAATTTTGTGAGGAGAGGAGTGACGTGTGCTCTCTTTGGCTCATTAAAGACCACTCTGAGTATTCTGGATTACTTGCCTCATAATGCATCCCCCAGACATGAACTGAACCAGCAGACTTATCTTCCTGATGCATCTGGGAAAACAAGTCATGACAGGCCAGTTGTTCAAAGGTAAGCTGATTGGATTTTGGTTATCGGATTGGATCAAATCTTGAAAATGGGTTGTTCAAAAGGGAAAGAAGGAATCTGAAATCAGATTAGATCATGGAATCTAATCCTAGTTTTAATCTGTATCAAACCTTCAGTTTGTGTTGTTCAAAACTTGTCAGTAGGATTTGGATAACTTTGATCCAAAAAAGCAGGATTATCCTGATCCCAACAGGGGGTAGGATTTCAAGGTGGATTCCTTTGTATACATAAATGATAAATTTGTATCATTTAGTGTATATACTTTTATTTATATTTTGCACTTGACTTGTGTAACCATTGTAACAGTGATAAAGTAGATATAGGCTACGAATTAAGCTATTCAATATAGTAAAGTAAAAATAAAAATGATCCCCCAAACAGATTTCAATAACAAACGAAAATAATATATTCCATTTTTCTGTCATTCATCACCGTATATTAATTTCAAAGAAACAATCATCAGAGATGAGCCTGTCAAAAATAATTTTTAACAATTGCATCCCTTACTATACATCCAGTCAGTCCCTCATTCTGACAGAACGCCCAACATGACATCATGACTTTGCGTAAACATACACGCCACTTTCAAGTCAAGTGGCGTGTTATCTATACGCATTTTGAGCTATCCGCGTGTATGTCTAGGCCGTTAAATGTCCGAGTGATTCCGCGTGTATGTACACGCCGTTAAATGTCCGAGAGAAACGAAGCAAAATGTAGATCTACATCTGGGGAGCGATATTTTTTTTCCTAGGATGGTAGGGGAAGACTCATAAATGCTATTAACCCCAGTGACGGGTAGGTTTAGGGACGGGGTTGGGGTAGGTCATATATTTATATATACAGTAATGTAACGTTAAGTCAACGGCGTTGATAAACACGCTGAAAAGCGATTATGCGTGTTGATAGCACGCCAAAAATGGAAATACGAATTGGCGTGTCATACATACGCAATTTCATGAGATCAGTCTGGAACGCCAGAGGTTGGTCTGGTTCTTCAACAGGCTCAGGTGCATCATAAACATCACAGAAAGGGAATTGCGCCTGGTAGCGAGGTTGTGTAGGATGATACACGCAAGTATTATGTTGCATGCTCCCTGTGGTTGCACTCGCAATGCAAAGCGTCTCTTCAGAGCTCCATTTAAACGCTCAGTTGCTCATCTTGTTTTGCAATGAGCAGTGTTGAAGCATACCTGCGCAGGTGTGGTTGCTGCAAAAAAAGGAGTCATCAGCCATGGTAGGAGTGGATAGGCACTGTCTCCTAATATTATGCCATCCGGTCGGTTGGTTTGGAGCTCTCTGTTTAAAGCACTCTCTCTCAGGATATGTGCATCATGAACAGACCCAGGCCACTTTATGACATAATTTGTGATGATGAGGTCAGCATCGCCCACAAGTTGGATGTTGATGCTGCGCCTCCCCTTTCGGTTGATGACATGAGTGCAGTCAATAACCCCAATAGTATTGGGCATGTTCCCCAAAAGAAAAAAACTTGTGCTTGGTCTGGGCAATCTGGACATCCTTTGGAAGTGAAACAAACTGATTGACCAGGCTGGCCAATGCAATTGACACAGCTTTCACTACATCACTCACAGTTGATTTGTCCACTCCTATATTGTCACCAACAACTTGGTAGAAAGTCCCAGATGCATAGAAGCGCAGACCTATGAGGACCTGTTCTTCCACAGACAGACTGTGACTCCTTCGGGTTCTCCGTTGAAGTTTTGGCCTGACAAGGTCTGTACTTAATATCAGCATTCCCAAAGGGAAAGCGAGCATACAGTTCTTCAGTGGTGTATTGCTCCAGTGGTTGTGCACGCTCAACATACACCCTTTGACGGTATCCTCTTCCACCAAAACGGTGGTAGCGATAGAGAGAGGCACTGACATGGCAGGTATTGTCCAAGTCCTCTGAGAAAGGCTAAATATAAGATGGCTATCAAATACCCACACACCAATTGGCTGACGTGCTGTGGCTTGTGTTCAATTAAATCAATCATGCCCAAGGCTTATAAATACCATGTTCACTACAACAGATGAGGTGGAACCATGGACTCAAAAGGACCCAATTTCACTGTTGCAGAAACCCATGCACTGCTGGAGGGTGTTAAGTGCCATTATGCCTCAATAGTATGAAGCTCTGTTGTGGGTGGAATGGTGACTGACAAAAGGAAGAAAGACATTTGGGTTGAAATCACCTAGAATGTGAATGCAATGGGGTCTGGCCAGAAGAGGACCTTGGAGCAAGTGAATTTTAGATGGAAGAATCTGAGGGCCAGAGGAACAAAGGACCTTGCTGAAGCAAAAAACACCCAAACAGGCAACAAACCCTTTAAGAAAGGTGAATACACAGATGTGGTTCTGGACATTATTGGAGGTGAGATCTCTAAAGCTCTGCACGGGATTCAAGGTGTTGTAGGGGATGGTGAGCCTACGATTGTAGAGGAAAGTGAGCCAGTTCCTCCTAATGCAGAGGAAACATTCATTCTGGATCTCAGCCCTATTATTGAAGAACAACCTGGATCCTCACTGGTAGAGCCAGCAGTCACAGGAGCTCAGAAAAGAGGCTTGAAGCGCCCTTTGCCGAATAATAATGATGATGCCTATGAATCACTTCTTAAGCGAGAAACTGACAGAGCAGAAGCACAGATACTCCTGGCAGAGGAACAAATCAAGCTGACCAAACTGCAGCAAACCAAAGCGAAACTTCAGATCCGCCTTCTAAAAGCAGGGCTTGGAAATGCTGGTCTCTCCTCCTCACATGAAGAAGAACCCTGAACATTCTTTATTTTGTTAACTATTGGACATTAAGCCATTTCTTTTTTTACGACATTTTCAAAATATCCACAATGTATTTGTTAATGTATATTTGTTTTTTATTTGTTGTGGCTCAGATGAGGGGTCATAAAAGAAATTATGAATGGAAGTGGATGTTTGTAATTCTTGTGTTTTGTTTCAAAATAAGAAACACTTACAGTGACCCCATGTTGGCTCTTCTACCTGATCTTTACATAGCTGGTTGCCCACATTGTGATATGTTGTCCCATTTAGAGCACTGGTAATCCAGATTTGGTAATCTTGAAAACTGTGTATCTGGATCAGGGTGATCCAGTCCAATGTTGCTTTGAAAAACCGGCTTAAAAGTAAGACGGATTACCTGATCCTGAATAGGAAAAAATGGGATTTCCAAATCCAGATTAAATGTTTTGAACAACTGGCCCATTGTGATGCTTAGGAATGAGATTTCTTCTGTAAAGTTCTTTAAACAGTGTGTGGTGTTCACAAATCAAATGCTTTGGATCAGGGATGGGTAACTTCGTTCCTGCAGAGTTTAGCTCCAACCCTGATCAAACCACAAGCTTTCTAGTACCATTTGATTAGCTGGTTTAGGTGTGTTTGATTAGGGTTGGAGCTAAACTCTGCAGTAAGCGTGTACTTTAAATTGACTGGCACCCAGCCAGCAATGACATGTGGGGCCCAGATGAGGGCTTCATGGGCGGCAAATGTGGGCCCCATTATGGGCTTGCACCCGGGATCCACATTGGGGCAAGCCGTGGAAGCCCAGACGTACTAAAAGTGGGACCTATAAGGGTACTGCATGGGTCTTAATTGGGCAATTCATGTCAGACCCATTTGGGCCCCACCTCCCCAAATGGGTCTAAAGTGGGCTTGCACCCGGGATCCAACCATGGCTGCCCAGATGGGCTTTAAATGGGCTCTGTAAGAGTCTTATGTGGGTCCTAACTGGGCAATTCATGCCAGACCCATTGGGGCCCCACCTGCCCAAAGGGGTTTAAAGTGGGTTTGCACCCAGGATCCAGCCGTGGATGCCCAGATGGGCTTTAAAAGGGATCTATAAGGGTATTATGTGGGATCTTAACCGGGCAATTCATGACAGACCCATTTGGGCCCCACCTGCTTAAAGGGCGTTTAAAATGGGCTTGCACCTGGGATCCACACAGGGGGCCAGCCGTGGATGCCCAGATGGGTTTTAAGTGAAACCTGTAAGGGTCTTATGTGGGTCTTAACTGGGT